AGCCTACATGTGATAGGGTTCTGAACAAAGGTTCTCTAAGAACACGTCTTATTCCGTATTATTATTTCAACTCCGAACCCTATCACATGTAGGCTGGTTGATCGGAAATTTCGCGGGAAATCCGATGGTGCTTTCAAAAATTAAATCTCAGAGCTCGTTTAGAGAATATTTCACAAAAACTGAAATGTGCACCGCGTTATCATCTAGTGATAACATGCGTTATTACGCTGTTTTCAGTGAAAATGCTCATGAAGAACAGGTTCGTAAAGCAAACCATATTCGTAGAGTATTACGAAGAATTGTATTAAGAACCGGTTACGAACTAATACTTTGAAAGCGTACGAATAGATAGTTTGCAGTTCGTAATGCAAATCAATTGTTTCTACGGATTTGAATGGGCTCGGAAAGAAATGCTTCACAATACGAAGAAAATCTTTCTCATACAAAGAATGAGAATTCTTCGCAAACGTTTCTAAGAATTTACTTCAGAAGCATTTTACAGTGCGGCCTCAACAAGTTGATACATGTTCCCCGAAAGTCCGATGGATTTACATAGTTCGTGAGACGTGTTAACCACATTTTAGGTATATTGTGACGCCCTACCTCCCCCCCCCCCCCCCCCCCCCCCCCCCCCCCTCCCGATGGGGATCCACACAGTGACATGCGTGTACTTGGCTTAATCCACATACACACAAACAGGTGCGATAGGTGATATTTGTTGGCCTTTTATCTAAAAAAGAAACAAAACATGGCATCAGGCACTAGTATGCCTCAAGTTGTGGCAAACAATAGGGCTGCGATAAATTGTTGTAAGATCTCTGTCACACACAGCAAAAGTAATAGCCTTGCAACTTTGTTAAGTAGACAGACTTGAGCTTGCGTAGAAATAAACGGAGATACACTTGTGCAACATCATTTTCCTTTTCACTGTATCTACCGGGTGTCCCGGCTCTTACATGCAAGTAAGGCGGGTTGCATACGCGCTGGCTCGCAGGCGCTGTAGCGAACCCGCAGGATTTCGCGCATCCCCCGCGGTTCCACGGGAAGGCTCGTGGTTCCGCGGGGATGCGCGAAATCCTGCGCGCTCCCGACAGCGCCTGCTACCCGGTGCTTGTGCAACCCATCATACTGGCATGTCAGAGCCGGGACACCCGGTACACGTACACATATACTGTGCACAGAAAATAGTTTCCTTGAATCAAAGAGTGTCTTATTTATCGAGAAATTTTTGAACTGAGTTTTTAGGTAAGAAATTTGACTTTTTCAACCGTACCAAATGCATTGGCATGATTGCCTACTCTCCCAAGACCGTTGCGCGCCATGATAAGAGACGATATAAGCAATCGTATTTTGATTCACGGGAACCCCCTCTAATTGGCAGCAGGGAAGGCTCTTCCAGGGTGCAAACACGAGTCACTCGTGCAGGGGCGCCACAACTGGAGCCCGAGGGAGGAGCGGCTTCCTCGTCGGCGCCGATACCGCGTATCCCCGGGAGGCTTCAGGGAAAGCGGCGCGCCTTTCAGAGAAGAGGAGAGCGGGCCGTGAGGTGAGCGCCGAGGCGCCGCGCGGCGCAACCCTATCGGCGGACCCTCGTCAAGGCCGGGAGTCCACACGAAAGCGAGCGCAAACACCAAGCGTGGAGTGCGGCGCTTAAATCCCATTTAAACATGGCAGAAAAATAGCGAACAGGACAACAACAAGCCGCCGAGCAGAGCGCAGAGTATAAAATGTCCCTGCAGAGCTGCGAAGAGCGTGTCAGTCGGATGCAGAGGACTCACATCGGATAACCATGGCAGGACGACTACACCTCGTCCTCATCCTCGCGGCAGTGGTAAGCGCCCCCTCCTCCTCAGGCCGCCGCACGAGGCCCCCGCCGCCGCGCCGACACCAGGTCGCCTCACACTGCCCCCCGCGCGCTGCCCGCAGGTGCTGGCGACGGCCGTCGAGGGCACGCTCCGCACCAAGCCCCGGCTGCTCAAGCCCAGGCAGCAGCATCGCTTGGGCGGCGCCCTCGGGGCCGCTACCACTGCCCTGGCCGACCTGGACTGCAACGGCCAGATCGCGTCCTGCTCCGACTGCACCACCAAACTGACCTGCGTCAAGCTGCTCAACATCTTCCGACCCCTCAGCACGACGGCCTGCCCTGCCAGGTGAGAACTGCCCACAATTAGATCGCTTGTGCGCGCTCGAAAATCGCATGACGACGATGACCGGGCGGTCTATCAGTTTCATAAAATATCGTCGTTTCTCTGATTTTTGAAAAGAAGTCGACCCGAGGGAAAAAGTATTCAGTAGAGTTAAATTGGGATTTGTGTGGGTCTTGGTCGCTCTAAACTCACTCCCCGTCCACCCCCCGCAGCACCCCCTACTGCGTCGGCGATGGCCAGTGCTCGGCCACCCCCGAGAACGAGACGTGCCGCCAGCAGGCCGACAGGGCCACAGACTTCACCTGCGTCGGCGACGGCTACTTCCCGTCGCCGGCCAACTGCCGCAAGTACTACTACTGCGCGGACAACGTGCCCTACGAGTACGACTGCACGCCGTTCGGCACCACGATCTTCGGCGCCGCCCGCGCCATGTGCGTGCCCACGACCGAGGCCACCTGCAGCGTTGCCTCCTGCACGACGGCCAACATCGGCGCCTACCAGCAGTGGCGCGCCGACAGGAGCGTCTACTTCGTGTGCACCGACACGGACCCCGCGCACGCCTACGTGGCCGACTGCGGCGACGACAGGCAGATCGACGCGCAGGGCGACTGCGTGCTGACGTGCACCCGCGAGGGGCGCATCGCCAACCCCGACGACAAGCAGCAGTTCTACGAGTGCGTGCAGACCACCACCACCACGTTTGTCGGCCCGACGGCCAAGACCTGCCCGGGCACCTCCGTCTTCGACGCCACCACGGAGCGGTGTGTCACTGGCAGCAGCGACCCAGGTAACGCATGAGTCACTCATCTATGTTGTTGTTGTTGTGACAAGATTGTGTGAAGTTTCAAAATAAAGAAGCTCGTAATGTTGAAGCAGAGTCTCTTTCACCCTACCACACTTGTTATTAATCGACAATGCCTCCTGCAGATCCGACCCCGAGCCCTGGCTCTATTGAGGATTACTACGCCCCCACCGCGGGCATCGATGAGAACACGATGTACAAACTCCCCGACGGCTTCCGTTTCGGCGCCTCATCCGCCGCCTACCAGGTTGAGGGCGGCTGGAACGCAGACGGTAAGTAGAGTCCTACTCTAACAGTAATGGCCTCACGAGGCTCGCTAAAACAACGCAAAGGAGCAGTGCAGTGTGCAAATTACGACTGTTGGGGAGTGCGGGAGTTTTCCACATTTCATCACAACGTTTTTCTTTGTTTTTTGTCTTTTATATTTTTTAAATACCTGGGTATTAATGTCATATGGTTTTACGCGGGATTTGGCTGATTTTATTGTCGGTGCTAAATCCGATTAAGGGTTGTGAGTTATTAATTACCCGTACCCGTACAAATGATGTTTTAGTTGGTTTGTATGCGTGTGTGTATGTGGCTAGTCGGCTCAATTGACATCATACTGTGGTAAAAAGACCGAGTAACCCTCTCCCATTCTTTTCTAGACAAGTCTCCAAGTATCTGGGACTCATACTTCCACCAGCGGCCGGGCACTCCCAACGGCGACGTGGCCTGCGACTCTTACACGCATTGGGACAAGGACATCGAGATGCTCAAGGCCCTCGGGGTGAGTGACCACGGTTTGGAAGGTTGGGTTCGGGAAGGGTTTGGGACGCGCCGCGCCCACCGCCCACCCCACTGCCAGCGGGTGGCCCACACACCAACCAACTGACTGACACGGGGACTCCCCTTTCTATTTCTCCAGTTAAATTCCTACCGGTTCTCTCTGTCGTGGACGCGGATCCTGCCCGACGGCGACTCAAGCACACCTAGCCTCCAAGGCGTCGCGTACTACCAGCAGCTCATCCAGGCCTTGAAAGCAGCGGACATCGAGCCCATTGTAAGTGAAGGGTGGACGATCGACCGCGATCCCGTGCGCATTCGTTGACAAGTTATGACCCCGACATCGTTCGCAGGTGACGGTGCACCACTGGGACATCCCGAACAAGTACCAGGAGTACGACGGCGGCTGGCTCAGCGAAAACATAATCGACCGCTTCGTCGACTACGCCGACTTCGTGTTCGGAACGTTCGGCAATGATGTGGGTTGACTCGCCTTTTGTGCCAGGTCGTGGAAGGCTCGGTTCCCACAGACGGTTAAAACAAACCCCTCTGCCTTCAGGTCAAGACGTGGGTCCTGATGAACGAGCCACACATCTTCTGCTCGGGTGGGTACGAGACGGGCAGCGCGGCCCCCGGCGTGTCCCAGTTGGGCACCGGCGCCTACCAATGCGTCCACAACATGATCCTGGCGCACGCCAAAGCCTATCATCTGTACAGTGACAAATACCGATTAACTCAACAAGGTAAATATTGCGCCGAGACGGCAACTTATGAGATCGATCTGCGACAAGTGTGCCAAACGGAGTTGCACTTTCTAGGGAAGATCGGTTCGTCGTTGGACATTCAGTACGCGGAGCCAGCCACCGACAGCCAGGAGGACAAGGAGGCGGCCGAGAGGGCCATGGTGTTCGGGCTGGCCTGGATCGCGGACCCGTTGATCTTCGGCGACTATCCGCAGCTGATGAAGGACATGGTGTTGGCCAACAGCCTCGGCGCCGGACTCACCACGTCCAGGCTTCCCAGCTTCACCGAAGAACAGAAGGCTATGATCAAAGGTGCGCTATAGCCGGGGCTCAAGCCGGACGTCGACGGCCGTTTACCGGCGCCGCCGAGCTTCACTCACTTTACCATTGTGTGACTCACCCTGCACCGTCCTGCAGGCACCCTCGACTTCATGGGCATCAACCACTACACCACGACCCTCACGACCACGGCGGTGCATACGGAGCAGGTGACGCAGGCGTCGTACACGAACGACACCAACACGGTCGGCACATCCAGACCAGAGTGGCAGCACTCGGCGCGCTACGTGTTTGCGGTACGCCCCCCTGCAAACCTCCCGCGGTTCTCCTTTTCACGTCATTTACGTTTGTGTACGCATCTCAACCAACCCTGTCCTCTCACCCTAGATCTGCCCATGGGGCCTGCGGGGCACCCTCAACTGGCTCAAGGCTAGGTACAGCAACATCGCGGTCTTCATCACCGAGAACGGCTACGGAGGCCCCGAGGACGAGGGCTTGCAAGACCCCAACCGGACGCGGTACTACAGCGTAAGTGTCTGAATGTCTGTTTGTCCTACCCCTGTCCTGGTGTTGCCTAACCCACCGCCGGCTCCATCCGCAGACCTACCTGCGCGCCATGCTGAGGGCCATCCACGAGGACGGCTGCAACGTGATCGGCTACACCGCGTGGAGCCTGTTGGACAACCTGGAGTGGACCAGCGGATACACGTAAGTTTTGTGCTGGCTGCCGCACGCACTCTTCTGTGATTTGCGGAGAGGATATCGGGCTTACGCTGACCACCCTGTTCTCTGGCCCTCAGCCCCAGGTTCGGTCTGGTGCATGTCGATTTCAACGACCCCCAGCGTACGAGAACACTAAAGGAATCTTCGAAGTTCTTCCAGGAAATTAAGAGCAGCGGCGGTTTGGTCAAGTACTACGAGTAAAGTCAATTGTCAACCATTAAGCGTGCAAAGTATCCAAAAGTCAGCTGTTATGATTTGACGCATATATCCCATGTACTAAACATCTATACCATTTAATAAACTCTACTGTGATACAAGCTGCACAAGTCATTTATTGGCAACCGCATACCCAACACGGGAAAAACATATGTATATTCTTGTGTAGCTGTAATGTACTGGCTGTTATTGGGGCAGACAACCAACCCAATAGTGTATTTGGACTAACGGAGGAAGAAGAATAGCGGGTAGAACATATAGGTTCCTGATTGGCCGAGCGCCTACCCCGACGCTTGGTAAGTTGTCTGTCCAAACACCAGCGATAACCAGCGTATACATCGGCAGCGACTTATTTCCCCCCCTTCTGTAGGGACTCGAAGCCTGGGTCCTTTCCCGCCGAGTCCCACTAGCAAGAGCACGCCCGGGCGCGGCTAGCGCTACTGGAGGCTGAGCAGTATCTGCAGGAAGCGGAACCAGGTGGAGGCGGCGCGCACGCAGGCCGCGCGGTCCAGGGCGCCGAAGCCGTGCATGGTGACGCTCCGGTCCTTGGTGGCGACGGCCATGGCCTGCGCGCGGAGGCGGCGCGGCTTGCGGCCCTCCTCCGGCCAGGGCCCGCAGTAGAAGCCCCAGCAGGCCGCGGTGTTCCGGTCCTGCCGCAAAGCAGCGAGCGTGCAGCCTCCGTGCGACCGTCTCGGTGCTGGCTTGCTCCCGCAGGACAGCCTCCCCCCAAACTCACCCGCACGCGCTGCCCGCCCAGGCAGATGGGCAGGAACACACCGAGGATGGCGGGGATGGTGGCGGGGGTCATGAGGTCGGCCTTGCGCTTGGACACGAACTGCGCGGTGTCCAGCAGCGGCAGCGTCAGGATGGCGAACAGGTAGAAGGGGTGGAGGTCGCGGAACATGGCGTCGACCTGCGACGCCCCCATCACCGCCTGCCCGTGCGCCCACACGATGCGGCGCTGGAGACAGACCACGTCGCGCACAACAAAATGATTCCTTCGTCCGACTGTTTTTATTATTTACACTTTTCAACCCTTTCCCGGTTACCTAAACTAGCCTGACCTCGAGCAGAAGGCCGAACGAACGTACTCACCAGCGTCCTCGTGCCGGCCGCCTGCTGCGCGCATCCCTCGACGGCGCCCAGCAGCGAGGCGACGCCCGAGTACAGGACGAACAGCAGCGCGTAGCACGTGTAGTAGGCCACGAGGCAGCTCGTGCACGCCGCGGCCACGGCCAGCTTGACGCACGCCAGGACGGCGTGGCGCAGGGGGCCGTCCAGGCGCTCCACGACGCTCGACCCGCCGTCGTCGGGCAGCAGCACGCACAGGATGGTCACCGTGCCGAGCAGCACGTAGGCCGCGCAGGCGCGCGCCACCAGCCGCCCCCGGGACGCCGTCCGCGACATCTCGGCCTGCAGCACGTGTGCAAAAAAGGCGTGCACGGCGCGACCGGAGGGGCGCTTCACTCAAAACAATAACAATAGCAATGTATACACCCTCCAAAACAAAACAAAACAAAAACACAGAAAAATTAAGATAAATGGGGAAAATCACAATAAAAATCCAATTAAAAATCATAACAATATCAGAAAAAATTAGGCACCCAGGTACCCTTCGATGCGACCGCGCAGTGAGCGCGCGGACGGCGGCGTCGTATACCTGGTCGGCGGGGGTCGCGACCGTCTCCAGGACGGTGGCCGCGCCGATCATGTGGTCCAGGACGCGGCGAGCCTGTGGCATCCTCCGCATGAAGAAGACCTGCGCCGGCAGGCAAGAGCACAGCGCGAGGAGCACGCGCAGGGCGTTCATCTGCAGGCCCCCGCCCGAAGCGCCCAGCACGTCCAGCAGCGCGAGAAGGCCCACAAGCACCGACACCGACGCCGTGAACTGCAGCCAGCCAACAACAACATCCACGCGGGAAAAAAAAATGGTAAAGGGTTTTTGGACTCGAACATACGTAGGGCGAAACGGCCAAAACGGTCGTTTGTTTTTGGACCGCGACATTTTTCCGCTATGTCGGTTCGGTTTTAAACGACCGATCTTTCCCGTTTCCGCCAGAATAAAATTGTGGCGAGACGATTCTTGAAAGGACCTAACACTCCATTTATTCGATCATTTTAGCGGTGACCGGGTGGATGGAGGGATCTTCAGGTAAACTAAAATCAAGTGACACGAGGCAAAATGTTATATGTCGGTGTATGTTGGAGTTGGCACACTCTAGTTTAAACTACGGTTTAACTGAGGATCCTTCCACCCGGCAAACTCTTTCGTATGTCGACCAGCGCCGACGCCGAAGGACCCATACCGGCGTCCCTCGCAAAGAGACTGCGATCCTGTGGCGCCGGGACGCTACCCGCGCGTCGACGCCGACCTCCAAACGCCATTCGCGTAAGAGCTCCAGCAGGGGGCGCTGCATCCTCGCGGGGTGGGGGTGGAGCGCAGGGTGGAGCGCGCGGCGGGCGAGTCCCCCGGCAGATCGGCAACCCCTTCGGCACGCCCCGCCCGGGGAGGCTACGGTCCCGCCATCCTCTGGCGCTCCTCTCCGTGCGTGTCCGGCCTATGCACTCATCAACCATGCAGGCCGTCTCTTCAAACATGACCTGGCTTATGCATGACCGCAGGCGGGAGGGGAGGGGCCCGTCGTGCACTTCCTTACTGTGCACCCCGAGGCACGCGTGCTGGCAGACAGCGAACACTTCGCTCCAGCCCCGCCGTCGCCCTGGCTTTGGCTTCACGAGTACACAGGCAGTCCCCTCCGAGTGCCCGTATGATGTGCGAGGGGTGGTTTCGATTGTGGTGGTGCTGCCCGAACGTCACACTATGGAATCGAATCACACCCCCGTCCGATCACTAGGGTCTGTGCTGTATTAAAGTCTGAACTGAAATGCCTAAGACCCTTTGAAATGATGTTCAAGTATCAAAAAGAGCGACTAGAGTGGCCCACCACAATCAACATCCCCTGAGCATTATCTTTTGAACGGGGTGGGCGTATGAGCGTAAACGAGTGATTTTTAGGAAGATAAAAGAACATCGAATTTTCGTGACGCCATCACCCAAATTTCTCAAACCACTCTATGAGCCCTAAAATAATTTTCGTTGCAAAATTTGCGTAAAATTATTTTTTGGATGGCGTAACGAAAATTCTATGTACTTTTATTTTCCTATTTATCACTAGTTTAAGCTCATACACTCTCCCCGTTAAAAAGATAATAGACTGTGAAAGTGAGGTTCCCCACCACCAACCCCACCAGCCCCCGCTGCTTGCCACAGGACTCTACCTCCATGACCTAAGATCAATACGTCCTTTCTCAAGGTCAAAATGATGTGCCTATGTTGAAGAGTACCTACGACTGTTTATTATTTTCTTCTCGTATTTCCATACTGTTGGTGAGGCAGAGGGCCATAAGTTTACGAGTCGTCTGCTCCGTTGCCATGTGGGGCGTCAAGCTCTTGCTCTCGAGGGGTTGGCAGGGGCAGGTGTCGGGGAGGCGAGGAGGGAGTGGCGGGGCGTCGTTATTGCACACAGGTGTGGAGTGGACCGTGGTGTACCACGGACCGCCAACGCCAGCAGCCCAACTCGGCCGTCTGATCCGCGAGAACTTCCACCGACTAGCAGCGCGCCCGCCCGCCCGGCGCAGGGCCCATGTGGACTCTGAGGAGGTGTCCGTCCGTCTGTGTCCGTCCACAAGCTCATTGCAGAATACAATGTCACCTCCAGGTGGGAAAAGACAAGAGATGATTAACACGATTTACTTTTATTAACAAACATGGTAGAAAAAAAAGACACAAGAACCTCTAGAATCCCCCAAGCTTGATCTAAGACGTATTATAAAGCACAACAGTTTCATTTACTAACAACAACACCTCACTAAAAATCAATATGGCTCCAAAATCCATAAGTAACGAGATAAAATTAGCTGTCTTAAGCTGTCCCAGCCCATTGAAAATAAATCTTAAAAAATAGGAAAAAAAATATTTGACGTACTGCCAGATATTTGTACTAAATTGTTCATGGAATAGCTTGTTCAGTCATATGACTAGTCTTAAATTACTCTGAGCAAAGAACAACTTTGATACACAGCAAAACAATAATTAAAAATTAAACAATTTATCAAATGAGACTTATCTCCACATCTTTTTCACTGGCTTGCAATCTTTCGCACCATGTAGTTGAGAACACCTCCATGTCGGTAATAAGAAATGTCCACGTCAGTATCGAAGCGCACAATAGTGTCAAAGCTTCGGCCATCACTGACCTGTTTGATAAAAGGGGATGCATTTGGTAGAAATAAGGTACTTCATAAACTTATACAGAACAATAGATTTGTTACATAAATTTTACAAACCTGAACAGTGATGGTTTGAAGTGGCTTGCAGTCCTCAGGAACAATGATTGAGTATTTCTCTTTTCCAGTCAGTTTTAAGGTTTCAGCATTCTGGCCTGGAAGGAACTGGAGAGGCACCAAGCCCATACCAACAAGATTGGATCTATGGATGCGCTCAAATGACTCTGCAATAACAGCCTTCAATCCCTGTAAAAACAATGGAAAAATAACTATTACGAAATAAAAACATGCTAAATGTGATAATGGAGAGAATTTCAGGAAAATGCACAGACCAGCAGGTAAGGACCCTTGGCAGCCCAATCCCTTGAAGATCCAGAACCATACTCCTTGCCAGCGATCGCAATAAGTGATATGTTTTCAGACTTGTACCTCTCAGCAGCATCAAAGATGTCCATCTGGATTAGAAGACACAAAGATTATTATGGTTCAATGTTCATCATAAGACCTACTCTATTCATCAAACCTCTCACCTCTTCTCCTGATGGAACATGCAGAGTGCGAGGACCAGTGCTGGAGACAAGTTTGTTGACCAATCTTATGTTAGCAAAAGTTCCTCTTGCCATAACAGCGTCATTGCCACGTCTTGAACCGTATGAGTTGAAGTCACGTGGTGTGAGCCTGAAAAAAGTAATTGTCATAGAGTTAAGTTCAAAAATAAATTGCTTAAGAACGGCATATTATAAAATGAGCATAAATATACACACCCTCTTGCAGCAAGGTACCGAGCAGCAGGACTATTACGAGCAATACTTCCTGCTGGAGAGATGTGATCAGTTGTAACTGAATCTCCAAGAAGAAGTAAACAGAAGGCATTTTCAATGGGTAAAGCAGGAGGAAGTTGCTGCAAAATTAAGCAATTTTAAATAAGAGTACACAACAAAAACACACGTCTGTAAATCATGGAAAATAAATTAAAAATCAAATA